AAACTACCAGATGATACTGAAGAACTTGCAGATACAGATAAACATACATTTCCTTATTGGTTCAGATATCTACAGATTTATAGGCTGAGATGAGGTCCATTGATATCGCATGTAGTAACAGATAATATTCATTTCAGATGGAAATATTTCAGATGTCTAGGTTCAGGAGATCAGAATAGGTTGTTCCCGTAAAACTAGTAAAAAGATATAGATATTTTAAAACAGATATATATATATATATATATATATATACCCCTATCCGTTCACATCATAAATGTGTAGGTTTCCCATAACCATACACCCAACCGCACATGCCATTTAGACCCTGATCACAAAGCCAAGGAATCTGCAGATAATCTTCCTCCAACAATAAACCTCAAGATAAAACATTTCTCCGTCGGTAAACGAAGATATCAGAAATCAAAACATAATTCAGATCAGATATCAGAACAGAATCCAGGTTAGGAATCAGAACAAATTTCATATCAGATGTCAAAATAGAATTCAAATCAGAAATCAGATAAAATATTCATATAAGTAGGGAACACACTAGAGTTTTCAGATATTATTTAGAGATACAAGATAATCTTATCGGACAGAGAAACACAAATCTTCAGTTTACCGATAGAATGTCGAAAATTAGAATCACTATTAGAAGAGTTTGTTAACTGACAAAATCATCAGTTATTCATAATATGCTTATCATGATCATCTTATTCGGACATTTATCGGAAGATACACATAATCAGAAGGGTATTCAAAATCCTTTACATATGAGTTACTTATGTTTCCATACATGTCCAAAGTGAATTGAGCTGATAAGGAATAAAGAAGATTCAGGACCTTTACAATCTATGTCGATTGATCAGATTATCGAACAACTCCAGATGAATAGCTCTCAGAACTAATACTTGTCAACTTGTCAAATTCATTAACCTTCCAGGGTATTTACTCTTTAATACCAAATATTCTTATCCATATATCACCTTCTAAGTCATCACTGAACAGATCTTAAGGAGACGAACATATATTCTAATGGTCTTTATTTAATTTCCATGTTTCAATTATATTAGGTAATGTTGATGTACTTGATTTGGGGTTCATAATCCATAGGGATAATACATCACATAAGTTCATCCGAGTTTCCAAACTTATTCCAATCTTTTACTTAATCCTCAGTCCTTGAGGTTATTTAGTTCATTTAGCAGTCAAGTCTATCTCAGTTACTTTAGAGTTTTTCAGAGTAATTCATACATTTCTAAATTTCAGATACATATTGTACTTTCGTTCAGTTCGGTCTTCGTGGTTGATTTGTCGAACAAATATCCAATTCTTAGTACTGAATGCGATCTAGAGTTTAGTTGTATACTTCCAAAATTATCATCGAGCCAAACTTGAGAAGACGAACACGCATACAAGTAATATCTATGTCGTTCAAGTACTGACTTATCATTAAGGTTGATCGGCTCACTTAAGTTGTGTTCTATAACTTTTAAAGGTAGTCCAAAACCTATGCTTATTTGGATTCCTTAATTAATCCAAGACATTTACTTAGTATAGGCCATAAGGGTATTTTGGTCATTTTGGTGTTCATTTTTATTCCAATCATTACAGAGCTCGAGGATATCCCATCATTCCTGAGCTTGGTGATATTCTTGGATCATTTCTATTACAGGGGTATTTTGGTCATTTTACAGATCCAGTGTATTTCAATTCTTTCTTTTCGTCCGATCTTATTATTAAATTCAAACTTATCATTTATTTCAGTCCATTCGAACAATTCTAACAAAAGAATACCCTCGATAAATTGTTCTTCAGGTATTTACTCATAACTTAGATATTTTCGGGTCAAGTGCCTTCTCAGATTTTACAAACGAAATATCAGGAATTTTCTACACTAAGTCAGAATCTTAACAATCAAATTTGTACTTAATCGAGTTAAGTACGAATCCTCAAACTACTTTCTCATTCAGGGTCAACTCAGACTATTTTACCTCTTAAGGGCATTTTCGTAATTTCTTAACCAGATAATTTCGATATTAGCTCTTAACGAAAATAATTATAATTTAAAGATCCTATGGTTAATTGCTTTCCCGAACATTCTCAGATCTTGAAATGATTCCTTAACAGACTTCTAGTATCTTGCATAAACTCTCTTAGGGTTAAAAACCGGTTATCCGCATTTTCTAAGCAAAACTAACATTTCTTATGCACATCAGTAAGTTTTACCGGATCAATATGTCTTTTCAGAGTTATTAACCAACTTCCAGGGACAATTCTTGTCATCTTACAACATAAGGGTATTTTCGTAATTTTACCCTATCGGAGTATTCTCATAATTTCTCATCCAAGTACCTTTAACATTTAACCTTTGATGAAATAAATTATAAGTTACAGATCCAGGTTGATTTCTTTATCACTAAGCACAAAACTTGTAATTCAATTATAACAATCCCTCAATTTTTTATTTTAATTATCTTAACCATAATCAGTTGCCAAATTTCTATTGTATTCGGATCGAGTGTAAAAATTCAGTAACTACACAAATGAGACCAATATTATCTTAATCATACATTTATCAATATTCACATGTTCCAAAAAGTATAAAGAGGTAGTAAAGTATTATCTCGATTTTCGTGCCATACTGATCGACCATATAAATTCCATTCGAACGCCTTTGATATTTAATTCAACTTCCAATATTTCCTCGGATCCATATCAACAGAAAATTACATTAAAAATGAAGCTTAATTCTGAAAAACAGATCGAATCAGATGATAAATCAGTGAAAACAGCTTATCGGATTCGAATTTGGCGAAACGGACTTCGGATTCGGATTCAGGACGTCGAAAGCATAAAATACGAGTTTTCAAAAATTTGGAATTTTTGGTCAAAATCAAAGTTAACGGGTTTGACTGGCAATTTCGAGGTCTTCGGGTCCGAATTTTGAAAAAAGAACTGCGGAATCGGATTTGGAACGTTGAAAAACGTTAGGATAGGTATATTCGGTCGAAGTCAAAGGTCGTTTAATGCCCAGTCAAAGTTCTGGTCAACAGTGATCAACGCCGGTTAACGGTCAACAGTCGACTATTTTACACAAATATCACCCTAACAGAAATTAATTACCAAATTAGCCACATGCTGAAAATATTTACCAAACTAACACCCAAACAGAAATTAATTCCAAAATTAGCACCCTACGCACAGTGGCGGCGCGTTAACAGTGCTCCAGTGTCGGAAAATTCCTAAAAATTATTTTAAGCGATTTTGAGGCACTTACAAAGCTCGGTTCACAATTTTGAACGGCAGAGAGCTCGATTCTGAAACATCGAAAACTTTGACTTTTTCACCCCTCAACTCGCCGGCGACGACGGAGAAACGGAAAACACCGGCGGACTCGGAACGATGCAAGGAACACGATGGTGCGGGAGGTGTCAAAAACAGATGGTCGGATCGTCGTGAATCTACGAAAAACCAATTGAAATCGAATTATTACCGACGATACTTCCGACTGAAATTAACGATGAACGACGACGATTCACGACGAAAGGTTTGAGGGGTTTTGTTCCTCGGTCGACAAATAACACGATGGTGGTTTCGGTTCGTCGATCGGAGGTCAGACGGCGAGTAGATCGGAGTTGAAATGAGGGTTGATGGAGGAGGAAAACTGCGAAATGTCTCTAGAAACTGACGGGGAGAGTTTATAACTCTCTCCAAAATAAAAATGGGTAAACCCCATATTTAGCCATTGAATTTTCCTTCACTTCTTAAAATGATTTGTCAACTTTACATTTTTACAATTTAATCCCCAATTTCTTCTAAAAATACAAATTAAATTCACCTCTTTATAATTTCTTAAATTTAGCTCCTAATTGGGGTGTTACAGGCTGCAATAAAATTGTTTCTCAAAGAAGAAAATAAGTCGTAAGATTCGGTGGGGAGTATTATTTGCTGCTATACTCTGGAGGCTGTGGAAAAAATAGAAATGAAATGATGACATGACATTACCTTATGGTGACATGTCAGCATTCTGTTAATTTTTTAACAGTGAGTGATCAAAATGAAACTAAAACGTAACGTTAGGTATAATTTTGAAACAAAAGAATAATAAGATGACCAAAACGGAATAAAAGTGATAGTTGAGGTATTAAACATGTAGTTTACCCAAAAAATTAGTACAAATAAAAATAGTTTTTTGATTAAGCTAAAGGTGATTACAAGCTAATATATGTTCTAAGTACTCTCAACCATTAGACAATAAACACTCAATCACTCTTGTAGTCACTAGTGCTCGAAACCGTGGCCTCTAAGAAACACAACGATTATATGTTCTAAGTACTCTCAACCATTAGACAATAAACACTCAATCACTCTTGTAGTCACTAGTGCTCGAAACCGTGGCCTCTAAGAAACACAACGATTCTTTTAATCTCTAATGTAAATTGGTTCATGCACAAATAAAAATAATTTAGAATAAAACATACAATTTATTATGATTATAAATTAATCAAAACATAACGACATTTATTAATAAAAGTTTAGTCTATATATGTTTTAAAAATTATAAATTAAGAAAAAATAATTTGAAAGTATCTTTTATACCTGTGAAGTTGTTACGGGAACCATCAAACCTTTTTGAGAAGAGTCAGATTCACAATCTGCTCTAGAATTTCACCTGAAATAAAAATATTAACAAATCAAATTTAAAACCTTTTTTTTAATTATTTTTCTCTAATTTTGTCATTAAATTATCTAGTTTCTTAAATATCTCACTTTTTATTATATTAATCAATTTTTCATTTTATATTTAAAATTTTTCGATCTATATATATATATCCATTCATGTAATAAACAAATCTAATTTCAGAATACATTTTCGAAGTACTTTTAAAAAATGCAAACACTTGAAAAGCTTTAAAAAATGGTTAGTGTACATTACCTTCAAAGTTGTTACCACCGATAAAGAAGAATTGAAGCATGTTTAAATTCCCAATTTCAACTGGTACGCTCCCCTCCAATTGGTTACGTGATAAGGACAGAGTTTGTAACTTTCTGCACTTGAATAAACTGGTTGGAATTCTACCACAAAGCATGTTAACACTGGAGGAAAATTCTTTCAAATTCGGAAGACGATCAAACGTATCGTTTGGAAAATGACCAGTGAGATTATTGAAGTTGAAATTGATGAGTTCAAGCGAAAGCAAATCGGTTGGAACAAAGGGTATGGAACCGGTGAACATATTAGTCCCTAGATCAATAACTTGCACCGAAGATATATTGAAAATGGAGGAGGGTATTGAACCTGAAAGCTGGTTTCCATACAAGCTCAACTCCTCTACCTTTGGCAAATAGCCTAAAGAGAGTGGGATAACACCATTGAAGTTTTTAAAGTACAAACGCAACACCCGAAGTTCAGTTAATGATCCTAACCACGATGGGATTTCTCCACTGAAGCTGTTGTTACCCAAGTCTATATGTTTCAGCCGGTGCAGATTTGATAATTGGACTGGTAATCTACCATGAAAACTGTTATCACTGATGGAAAGAAGAGAAAGGAATGACAAATTTCCTAAGTGGGGTGGAAGGGTGCCTACAAGTCCCAGCCCTGTAAGGTCTAGAGCCGTGACTCTGCGGTGCTTGAAGCCGCAGCTGACACCAAACCAATTGCAAACATGGGAAGAAGATGACCAATTGGTTGCCAACACATTTTGAGGATCGTGGACAACACGGTCTTTGAATGCAAGAAGGGCGGACTGGTCTGTAAGTATGGTGGTTAAGTTCATGGAGAAAGTGGTCAGAGAGAAATGGAAGATGATAAGAAGAGTTAAGTTGAGGAAAATGTTCCCCATTAGATTTTGGGTGGTTGAGTCAAGCTACCAAGGAAGGCACAAGCTCGATAGCTAGATAACTAGTTCTTTATACACACACTGGAGTGGACCTATGCATTGCCGCACTAATTATTGAATGCTCACACTCATTAATTCGTTGTGAATAGTATTAGCATAATAATTAAAGTAAATTTCAGGTGAAATTCTTAAATAAAGATTGAATGATAATATAAGGTTCCAAATCATATATTAAGTTATTATCTTTAACGTTCTATTTTTCCCACAGTTAAATCGTAATTGTGGAAGGATTTAATTATATAACTTATCAGTTTCTTTAAAATTATTTATATATGTGCAAAGTATTTTAGGTAAATTATATCACAAGTCATTGTAAAGTAAGTATGTTTATAATTGGATCAATTATATTTTAAAAAATTATAACTAAATCACTCTATTTATTGATTCTAACAATTATGTCATTTTACCATTAAGTTTTAGCTTTTGAGGGATAATTTAGATTTTTGGTTATTCACTACGAGTAGTTTCACATTTTAGATTACGAGTAAATTTACATTTTGGTCACTCAATATTAGTTGAATCAATTGTTTTGGTTCTTTTTAAATTTCTTACATGTTGATGCAAGATCAATTCATCATTGACTTGGTGTTTTTCTTGGCAAATTGTGAGGGTAAATGAAAAATAAAATCTAAAAATATAACTCAACTGAAAAATGAGGTTACAAAGTTAAAAGTAAGACAAAATGTAAATAAAATCTTAACGATAAAGTAATATAATTGTTACATTCAATAAACAGAATGGTTCATTTATTTTTTGAAATATAATAATTCACTTATAAACTTACTCATAATACATTGACATGTTCTTGTCAAAAAATAATACATTGACATGTGATATAATTTATCTAAATATTTATAATAATAATTGTAGTTTTATGTATTAGTTGTGTCACAGTAAAAAAATCACGACAATAGATAATAATATTAATATTATTTTTTTATAAAAATAGAAGAATGTAAATTACTCTCATACTTATATAATTTTTTACCACTTTTCTTAAGAATTGAAGAATATATTTTCTATTGATGATCTAATTATGCATCCTCTTAAAATTTTTAATTTTATAATTTATAATTCTAATATAATTTTTTAAATTTGTATTCTAAAAATAAAATTTTACATCTATCCTGCATGTCATATAATGTATTGGTTTTATGTGGCGTGGAATGGTTATGTGTATCGTTTTTGCTTCTCTAGAAGGGTATGGGCATTGCCGACGGATGTGGATTTGCAAGGAGTTGACTTTACAAGTTTCTAAAAAGGCATGCTTTGACTCTGATGCTTGGAAAAAAATTGTGGTGGAGATTTGGTGAAGGAATAAGTTTGATTTGCTAGTACTTTCCTTATGTAGATATTTTGCCTTTTATTAATAAATAGTAATAAATTCATTTGCTGAGAAAAAAAATAAATTACACAATATTATATTTAAAATTCATACGGTAAGTGATTTCTCAATTGCAACTTGAACTCATCTGCCTCATTGTCCAAGTAAAGGGAGAAGAAGCATCTATATCAATATCCAAAGACTGACTTGTCGGGACCCCAAACTTCAAAGAATCACGTTTAGTAAATTAAATGAGAAAAAAATGTGAAAATTAGAGCGTTGAAAAGTTAAGCAAGCGAAAAAAAATTAATTTAAAATGACATGTCATAATCTGTTAGTAAATTAACTTAAGAGTGACAAAAAAATCAATGTTTAATGTTTTAAATTATAAATTTTTTTAAAAGGAAAGTACTTTGCATTCATCAGAATAAATTATACACAGCACATCACACCCAAAGGCCTCATTAAAAAGTAAGAAGAAAGTTGAGTGATGATTTGTATAATTTACCCTAATTAAAATATCATTTCTTTTAAATTATATTTGGTATTATTATGGTATTCGTTTTGCTCCTTTACTAAAATTTTGTGCTAGTTTTTTTGAATTTTCTTCACTCCGTTAATTCTAAATTTTTCAAGCGAGAGAATAAACCAAAGAGACCGCAGTTATACTTGGGTTTACTTGGATGAACGAAATTAAGATTGAATTATTAAAGAATAAGTTATTTAATTTTAAAACAAATAGGATCTTACAATATAATTAAATAATAAAAATTAAGAGATTGAGAGTTTAATTTCACTAATTTTAAAATTAAATTATCTTAAAAAATAATTAAAACAAATAACGTGGGTTCGTCCCCGTTTATTTGGCCTTTTTTTTAAGAAAAATGGGTCATGCGTTCATTTTCTGCTATGGAAATTTTTGAACTCCTCCCTTTATAGTTGACTTGTGAAATATATGGTCTCGATTATCTTTGAAAAGTAGTATGGTCTTCATTTTAGCCACTTAGTGTGCACACTTGAAATATTGGCCTGTAAACATTGGCCTACAAAGTGATTAGTAATAATATTATCCAAAATGAAATCTTTATTTGTGATATTATGCATTCTCCACTGTCTTTTTCTCCACTTTCGGCATGGTTACGGAACCCGAGAGTAAGTAACACCAACACATTTAAGACTTTTATAACATTTCTCGTTGATTTTATACACATAAGCAGTATTATTGTATTTCTTTTGCAAACCGCATTTTAGTTGTCACTATTTTATCAAGTCTTCGAAATTTCTATAAATCTTTGAAATTCTATATCCTTCAATCAACTACAATCTATTGACATAACCAACGACAGACTCATATGATCTATCAGTTAAATCTATTATTTGACAATTAGATCTATTTACCTTACCAACTTATAAATAGTCATTGTTGTCCTAAGCCTAACATTAACACTAAGGGTGCGTTTAGTTCACAGAATGTAAGATTACCAGTGGGAATGTAAGATTACCAGGGAATAGGATTACTGGGAATGTTATATTTTGTGTTTGGTTGGCTTAGTAGGAATGTAAGATTACTAGGGAATAAGATTACTAGGAATGTTATATTTTGTGTTTGGTTGGCTTAGCAGGAATGTAAGATTACCGTGTTTGGTTAAAGGAATAAAAGATTATTGGAATGTGTATTTGACCAAATTGTCCTTATTATATATTTGTATAATATTACAAATTGTAAAATATTTATATTTTTTCTTTAAAAATATAAATTCATAATATTTTATTTTAACCCCTGTACTTTATATAAATCTAAAATTTTATATAAAAAAAGGTTTAATGAAAGGGTAAAATTTTATTTTAACCCCTGAACTTTATATAAAATTTTAATTATAGATTTTTTTTGTAAATCTAAAATAATTTAAGGATAAATTTATAATTTAACCTTCGTAAAATTTTTATTATTCATTGACAGAAGAATGATATTTTTGGAAGAAAAATAATAATTTAAGGGCATTTTAGTCCAAAACACCGGTAATCCAACAATACCTAAGGAAATGGATGTAATGACATTCCCGGTAATATACTCCAAAAATTCACTATTGGTAATCTTATATTACCGGGAATGAGATTCCCGGGCTAACCAAACGGGGGAATGTGGATTCCATTCCCATGGGAATCCCACATTCCCCCATCCAAACACCCCCTAAAGGCTTGTATATAAACCTTCATACAAGGTTAAATGATGGAAATCTCTCTCTTAAAATCTCTCTAAATATTTATAATTTCTTCGAGTTTTTTTACTCTCTATGTTCTTCAGAGAATCACCAGTCACAATTCTCTATTTTAATCAGATGAGATAAATTGTCAAAAATCGTTATATATATATATTCCATCAACAGATATATATCCAATTAAAGTAGAAAAGAACTTGAGTTCGTTGTGTTAATATCCAATTACATGGATGTTTATTATATATATATATATATATATATGAATTATTTTAGTTATGTATAACATGGACTTTTAATTTTGGAGATCGACTTCCTATCGGGATTTGTCCCCGCCGTCTTTGTCATATTGATTATTTACTTGAACCTTGAATCCGGTGGAAATTGATATATTTTGGAGTTAAAATAGATAATACCTCGCAAGTTGCAGTAAAAAATTGTTAATAGCTCGTGTCCATGGCTTCTTAGGACTGAACTACTCTCCCACGTATCTAAAAAAAAAGAGTGTTTCCTCTTAAATAAATTTAATTCCTTTTGATAATTCAACCAAAATATTAATTGTCATTATAGATTTAACGCTTGAGTGATCAAAATAATAAATTTCCTTAATAACGATGATCAAATTAAAAAGATTTTATTTCGGATTACCAAGACATTTGCGTCTTAAAAATTGAGTATTTGTTTAGGTGGTTTAACCTAATATTCTTATATGGGTATTTTTAAAAATTTTCATTTTGATACAGACTAATAATATTTAAATAAAATAACTAAAAATCATTACCTGAGAGGAAAACATGTGACTAATAATTTTATATTATAGACATTTACCACTCTACCTACGATCATTTAGTGTAATTATGTGTAATTATATAATTGTGGTAAGTTTAGATAATCATTATAATTTATGAATCTAGTTGAATTTAGTATAATTGAAAGTCTCCAATTACACTCTTGAATTCTTAGGAGAATGGTGAGAATTAGTATTTTGTGACTATGAGATTACAATTTGTATTTTATATATGTATGTATATATATTACTTATTTTAAAACTTATGAAATAAGTGAGTTATTGTTGTGCTAATAGCCTAATATCTATATAACCAAACATGTACATAATTTCTACAAAAATTATTTTCGTTCACACGCATCATTTAACAGTTTAAAAATAGATTGATTTCGTCCAACGATGTAAGATTATAAATACATCAATTAATAGATAAATAACAAAAATATCAATTATTTTAAATTATAATGAATATTATTGTGGTGTTCATTTTATTTCTTTACTAAAAACTTGTACAAGCATTTTGAATTTTCTTCACTCCATTTCTTCTATATATATTTTTCCAAGTGTGGGAATATAACCAAAGAGACCGCAGTTATACTAGGGTTTTCTTTGTCATCTTTTTTTCAAGAAAAATGGGTCATGAATTCATTGTCTGCCATGGAAATTTCTTCACTCCTCTCTCTGTCAATTATCTTTGAAAAGTAGTATGGTTTTCATTTTAGGCAGTGTGCACACTTGATATATTGGCCTATAAATATTGGCCTACTAAGTGATTAGTGATAATATTATCCAAAATGAAATCTTTATTTGTGATATTATTCATTCTCCTCGCTTCCACCCTCTTCGTCTCCGCTTTCAGCATGGTTCAAGAATCTAAGGGTTAGTAACGTCAACACATGTAACACTTGTTTGTATCAATATCCAGTAACATGGATATTTATATGATTTTAATTATGTACAACATGGGCTTTTAATTTTGCAGAACAACCTCCTATCCAGATCTGTTACCTCAGCCGTAATTGTCATATTGATTATTTACCTAAACCTTAATGTGGTGAGCAACTGAGAGAGATTTCAGAGTTTAAATACATAATATACTGAGCTAGTTGCGTATAAATCTCTACTTATACTTTGTTTCTTATAAATAATTGTTAAGAGCTCGCGTACAGGGCTTATCCAGACTTAACATACTCTCCCATGTATTCCTCTTGAATAAATTCAATTGCTTTTGACAATTCAACCAAATGTTTAAATAGTTTTCATTTGTTTACATGGATCAAAGTTTCTTTTTTGTTGTGGTTAAATTTATCGTATTATCAATTTTTTGTCGTCAGAATGTGACCCTCCACCTCATTAGAAGAGATGAATCGCAATTGACCAATTGATAAATTCACTACCACCATCAATCCGTCAAAGTGTTACCTAATTTGAGGACCATCAACAATAAATACAAAGTTTATTAATCACGGATTTACGGTTAAATTTTTTACCTCGGTTTATTGAATTGAAAACTACTAATGTTGGTGTACCAAATAATGTATATATATGAAAGAAAGGACAACAGAGAAAAACTTTGAACTTCATTTGTAAGGTTTAAGAGCATCTCCACAAAATGTACAAATTACATCATTCCAAGATCTGCACTAGAATGGAACATAACAAAATTGGGTTATCGATTTCATGTCCCTGACGCATGCTCCTTTTCCACACCGAGAGCACGTCCCGGCATCCGGCTTGCTGCTCATCGGTTTCTGCACTTGGTCCACGGGAAACAAAAGCACGCCATTTTCAAGCCACACAGAGGGGGGGGGGGAAGAAACCTCAACCATCCTTCAAATTCAAACTATATCTAATAGTGACAGCCATTGGATACATCCATTTAATTCAACCCAAGTGTCCAACTGCCATTGGCAATAACGTTTGATGATTTGCTTTAAGGAAAAGTTGGGAGGTTTGATTAAATGGAACATGTTTTTTTTTCTAATATTTCTTCTTTTCTTTTCATATTGATGGGGCAAAGTCAGAAATGGATACAAAAATGAAGTCAATATGAAGCAGCCACCATCACGTCTCATGACATTGGACGGTCCTTATCAATTTCCGACGTGGTAAGACAAAGTTGCTTAAAAAGGAATTTTTTCCCGAAAATCATTAAAAAAGTTTAAACCAAACAACCCCACAATAAAAAAATAATTAAAAAGAGGAAATAGAACCACTTATTTTTCTTAAGAATGGGGTTCACTGGTTTAATTTGAAGTTACGAACTTTGTAAAGCCAAAACTCCGGAAGCTGAAGCCATTGATGCCTTTGCATTGAAGCACACGTCAAAAACAGTGACAACAAAATATACCCTGAGCCTCTGCCGAATTCCCCCTTAATCTGTTAACTTTGGAAGGTTCTTTTTTTCTTTCGTTTTGCTGTGATTGTTACCCACATGACGGAGGGGAATGACAAGTACGGAAAAGAGTTGGATTTGGCTGTTAGAATTGTGCATATGGCTTGTTTTTTATGTCAGAAAGTGTAACAAAGATTGGTCTCTGCTGCTTCTCGACAGGTTTTGGCTAAGGATGATGATTCTCCTGTTACTATTGCAGGTACTTTTTTATTGCATCAAATTATAGTATTTTGGGGCATTTGGTTTCTTCTATTGGTGGTGCTTTTTTTTTCTCTCTTTCTTTGGTGGGTTTGATCTGAATGAGGCTCTTGACAATGAGTTTGTTTTGTTTTTGTTTTTCAATTGGGGATTAGGGGGTGTGAATTTGTAATGTGGTCTTTGATTGGTGTATATGCAGGCCATTGTTTGTTTGGTAGTTAGTATAAGCAAGAAAAAATAAGAGAAAAATTGGAACTTTTATTATTGTTTGAATGATTGGAAAATTTTCATTAGGTTGTTTGAGTATTGCCATTTTGGTGCTTCCTTTCTGTAATTTTTGTCCAAGGAAATACATTGTTGAAAAGGAAAATGTTGAGAACTTTGTTCCTGTATTGCTGAATGGATTTTAAAGTGCAAACTTAGGAAATGAGGTAAAGTTTGTAACTGGTTGTTCAGTTTTAATTTCTGAGCTGATCAGTTTGGTTCTGAAACCAGGGCCTTTGGTTATATTTCGATCGCAGTTTGTCCGGATTCATTGACATTAGTGAATAATGGAAAGGAACTCCATAAACCTCTTGTTAATTGAAAAAGTACATAGCTGGTCCTATGAAATTAAACACAGATAATATGAAAATAGCACTTGTTTATTCTGTTTTATAGTTGAATCCTAGGTTGCAACTTTTTTCATTTATATGCAAGTAAACAGATATGTCGGGGAAGCCAGGGTGGAATTTTTCCTATTGAAAGGGATTAGGACACTGATTAGTAAATTCGTGAGAGTTCAGCTGTAGATTATGCTGATTGCAAATCATGCTTGTCGTATGCTAGTATATGGAAATGCAGGCGTCGGTGCTTGAACATGATTGAAATTGATTGCTTAGACATGCACTTGTTGGAGGTTTAATTGACTGAATCATTAAAGATAATACAAAGGAGGAGCCTCACAAATTATTTGGCTTTCCACTTTTTTTTTTCTGTTTCCCCTTTTCTTTCATGAATGAAACTTTCTCACAAATTACTTGAAATGCAGTGCGGATTACAGTAAATGGTTTCTTAACTGATCATCATACTTATGTCGTATATACTTATCTGTTATGCCCCATTTTTACTCGATGAGTATTGTTTATCTAATCATGTTAATTATTTGCTAGGTGTTTGTGAAACTTGGATCCGTTCATTGATTTTTTTATCATCTCTATCTTAACAGACTGGAGTGTCCAAGCAACTGTTAGTTGGCTGCTTTCCGAATTCTTGGAAAGTCAGAGTGCGTCCATTGTTGCTGAAGAAGATGTCCAAACACTCAAAGTCTGATGCAGCAAGTTTACTTGCAGCTGTTGTCAACACTGTGAATGAATGCTTAGCCGAAGCACCAAAATATGGTCTCCAGCGACCAAAGAAAGCGCTCGAGACTTCACAAATCCTTGAGGCTATCAGTCGGTGCAACTCAACAGGGGGGGCCAACCGGAAGACATTGGGTGCTGGACCCCGTTGATGGGACATTGGGTTTTGTACGTGGTGACCAATATGCTGTAGCGCTAGCCTTGATCGAGGATGGGAAGTTAGTTCTTGGTTGCCCTAATTACCCTATGAAAAAGGATTTCTTGAATTATAATCATCAGCGCAATCAAACCATGCCAAAGGCTCCGCCATCTTCTGATAATTTTGCAAAAAGGATGTGTGATGTATGCAAGGAGAGGAAGTGGTCGGGCATGGATGCTACCATTGATCAACGGGGATGCAAAATTTGAATGGCCAAATTCTGCTACATTGGTACAGGCTTCTGCCGTTGATGATCCATCACTGGCAATTTTTGCGAACCGGTGGAAAAGGCAAATTCAAACCACTTGTTTACAGCGGGGCTTGCTAACAGCATAGGTCTCAAGTGTGTTACTATTATTTTCACCCCTAGTTCATTTCTTCCTGTTAATGTTTGAGAAGAATAATCTAGAAAATTGATTAGAAATTGTATAGTATTTACGAGGCCATCTTCTTGTTTGATCCTAATACATCTTTCAATACATTCTAACGGCAGAAACCAACCTATGCGAGTCCATAGCATGGTAAAATATGCAGCAATAGCTTGGGGCGATGCCGAGGTTTTTATAAAGTTTGCAAGATTCGGGTACAAAGAGAAGATATGGGATCATGCTGCCGGTGTTGTCATCGTAGAAGAGGCTGGTGGTGTTGTAAAGGATGCAGGAGGTTGCCCCTTGGACTTCAGTCGGGAACTCTTCTTAAAAGGTCTTGACCGGGGTATTATTGCTTGCTCTGTACCAATACTGCATGATAAAATCATCGGGGCTGTATATGCAAGCTGGGATTCTTCTAATCATCGGGGCTGTATATGCAAGCTGGGATTCTTCTAATCTGTGAGACTTCCTATATCTTGCCAATTCTACATCTAACTTTGTCAGGGCGAACGTATTCTGAGAAGGATGCTGACGTGCTGCCGGTACCACTAACAAAAGACCTGAGAAGCGTCTGCTGAAATATGTTCTCCGTTTTAAGGGTATGAAAGTTTCCGAAGTCTGATCATTGACTTCACCTTCCATTCTGATCTTACAGTCACATATTGCTCGATTTTTTATTAGCAATAGCACCCTTACTAAAGCTTTTCTAAGGCATATTTTTATGTCATCAATGGTGATTCTTTAACATGAGAAAGCTTAAGCTGATGCTTAACTGAACTGGTACATTAAGTTTTGGACGCATACTCGTTTATGATTTTTTTTTTTTTTTTGGATAAGTAAGCTTTTATTTCCAAAAGAGCAATGTTGCTACAACAAACATCCCTAAAGGGAGAACCAAATACTAACAACAAAAATGGTTAGTCAATGCCCCAATAATAGCATAGAATACAATTAACATTATCAATTCTATTGATATTTTTGCCTCTAAATTGTATTCGGACCAGCTCTTTGATGGAAGACAGAACTTGATCGACTTCTCTGGAGCCACGATGGTAGATTCTTCTATTTCTCTCCTCCCATATCAAGTAGATGAACGAAGTCCAAGCTAGTTTCAAGATTGTAGTAAGAAGGGATTTACCTTTCCATTCTTTACTAGCCCAGCAAATCTTTTCTTCCCATGTCATGTGTGGAACATGCAGTTGAGAAAGATTAAGAATGGAGCTCCAAAGTGATTTAGCAAAGCTGCATTCAGAAAATAAATGGTCCCTAGTTTCATTAGTCTCATTATATAGCACACATCTACAATCATTGACAATGCACATCCGAGACAATCTTTCCCGAGTTGGAAATCTGTCCAAGATGTCCATCCAAGCGATCATACTGAATTTTGGTATGTGAGAAGGGAACCAAATGATTTTGTGCCAATTAACTTTGTTTCTTTTTTCTCTAACAGCTTCCCAAACATCTCTAGTAGTTTTAGTTCCTGCATTGAGAATGGGGAGTGCAGTGGATCTAAGTTTCAGAAGTCTCTTTATGCTCCAGCTATGGGAAACTTTCCCTGCCATGTCTTTGAAATCTTCATTCTTAATTATATATATTCTGCATTTTCTTCTTTGTTAAATATCCAGGAAAGCATATGAATGCTTCCTCATCCATTCATCCTACTGACAACTTCGGTTATATTTCGGTATAAAGGAGGCCATAATGTGTTACTGCAGGTGGTTCATGTGGACCATTTTAAACGTCGGGTTCTTTGATATTGCAAATTAAATCGAGATTCAATCACCGCGTTCGATATAGATATGGTTTGGAGTTAACAACATTCATGGAAACTACACACTTCATCCCAAGTCAATGCTTTTGATTATATTTTCCTCTGTGACAGCTAAAATCATGTACTGCTCCAATTACGAAAGGAAGCATCCTCTGTAGCTATCTTCCAAATTCAAATTTTAATTATGTTTTCGTTGACAAAATAGTACGCTGAATTCCATGTTTAGACTTTGAAAAAAAATGAAGGTTAATTTTCACAATATTTAAAAACACAAGTCAATTCAGGTTTGATTCTTTGAATTTGAGTATGCATGGGTTAGGTACGTCTTTGGGACCACAATGCATGTTGCTCCAAATTTTATTGAAGGATTCTTTACATGTCATCCATGGATATAATATTTTTAGAAGATAAAATCGGATAAATATAAATTTTGAAATTTATAATTATATTCTCTTTCGCCAACACAATTAAATTTTAAATTCTAACATTATAATTTTTTATTATCATCGGTCTTACAATTTTCTTTGAAAAAAAACAAATCAAACCATCAAAAAACAGTGACAACTAAGTGAAAACATATGGCCCCTTTACCGGAAAGAATAAAAATTCTTAATCATCACACATGAACTCTTCATTATATTAATTGATTTCAATTTCAAAGGAAAATTATAAACGAAGTATATAGTTTATTAGTTTATGCAGTCCTTAAGCTTTAATAATTATTTTTTAAAAAAGTATTTAATATTATTAGTTTATAATATTAGAATATTATAAAAATAAGAGACAAAATCAGTATGAATAAAATAATGTTATATTCGATGATATTTGAGAGTTGAAAACTATGCTTGCCGACAGCTCACCATGTTCAATGCCACTGTCTTCCAATTTTGACATCAACGTCATACAATATAATTAATTAATTAATTAAACATTATTAAATGATAGCATTAATAAGTTACAGATTTATTAAAAGGAACAGAGTTTTAAAGCAATAGTTATTTATAGAGAAAATATAGATTTATATTTTAATGATAATGACATAAAAATCAATTTAGAAAATAGGATCAGCTGAGGCACCCCTCAATGAATGTAATTTAGAAATAGAATTAGAAAGTAGGTGAAGGCAAGGGTTTAGTAGTTTAGGCTTTTGAATGTGAAGATTTTAAGTAAAAGTCGGTGCTGTTATGCGTCGCTTTACTACTTCGCTTTGCTTGTTTCACGTATGAATTGGCAAAATAGTCTAATGATAAAACCAGATTTGGTGGGTGCTAGATTAGGTCAATATAATATATATTAATCTTACATTTGTCATTTTTTATTTAATATATTTATCGAGTCCCACGGTGGGTAATTTATAATTGTCGGAGGTATTTCACGAAAATTGTACTCAACCTAGCATTGGGGGCAGCCTACTACTTTACCTCCCCTTACCCCATTACATATGGAAATAGGGTCAGCGTATAGGTGATTTACTTATTTTTAATTTAGGCGTAGAACTATAATTGTCGCTTAAATAATAGTTAATTAATATTAAGATTTATTGTTTCTACGAAGAAGGAAAATAAGAAAAGTAAAGGTTAAGTTTGTCTTCTCGTAATATTAACTGAAAGCTTTTATAATTATATTTAGTGTTAGTGTTAAATATAGAATCATTATAGTTACTCATAGATTTAGCAAGTTTAGTAGATATGATTGATTGACAGTAAATTAAGTTATGATAGGTCACGTGAGCTTGTTAAAGATTGTAACATCACAAGGGATGTAGAATCGTAATTGTTGGTTAAAAGATGGTTGATTGGTATTAAGAGTTTTTGTCTCCACGAAGAAGGAGAAGAAAATCAATAAAGGTAAGATGTTAGGTTTGACTTCTCTTGGTATTTGACCCAAAGATTTTATAATGACTAATAATAAATTGAGTTCTAATAAATCATGTGAATTTATATTAAGAAATTGTGACTTCTCAAGGAGTGTTTAACTTTTGGATTATTGCATAAGGAGATATGAATATTTATTCTTACAAAATAAATTCTCCAAAAAATATTATTTACGAAGTAATTCTAGGAGAAATAAAAGAGAGTATGATATTAGATTTAAAAAATTAGAATAAATCTATATGTAATTTATTAAATAGGTTAACCATATAATAAATTTTGGAAGAAATTTTTTTGAAAAATGTATCTGTTGAAAAATTATTTTAAAATATATTAAAAATAGAACTTATCATATGAATTAAACGAAAATTATATGAAATTCATTACGTCTACACGATGAATTTTAATTATTTAATATATTTTATAAAACTCATCATTTTCACAAGTCAAAATTGAAAAATACTATAACAAATTACTTAAATCCCAATTTAATTTATCATTACAATTCCTTAACTTTTTTCTCGCCTATACTATTTGGCCAACAAAATCTTAACTATAGACATCCGTAATACATACAAAAATAATAATATTAGTTTTTATGAATTAAATTTGTAAATTATATATAGAAATATCGAATAGGAGAAGAAAAAACCGCCATAGCCGGGCCCGGCTTGGTCTGTCATTCCCGCGTTTTCTTTTCTCCTTTCCTTTATCAGTGGGGTTGGACCCACTCTATTTAATTCTTCTCACACTTGTTAGTTGGACGCTTTGAGTTATTTATTTATTTTACATGTCCTTTTTTTCTCAACTTTCTTCACTTTTCATTAGAAATAATAAATTTAAGTAATTATTAATTGATATATTAAATAAAGCGTTAAATTTATTAAAGAAAAAGTAAATCAGATATTAACAATTGTATTTAAATAATAATAATTTTAAAAATAATAGTATTATTTTAGATTAAAAAAACTATTCAAATTCATATGTAGTGAATTGGATTTGCATTGGCCAAAAGTTTCGTTACATCAACCCCATAGATCCTTGTTGTACGCTTAAGATTATTTCTCACCATCAATTGCGGAGACTAATTAATAGGTATTGTGTAGCTGAAACTCATTATTTGTCTTTTTGCTAATGATTTTATATTCTATGGGAGGATAGTATTTTATAATATTTTAAAAAATAAATAATTTTTTAATAATTTTAAAAATCATGTAATATTATTTTCATCATAAATTAATATAATATCAAATTAAATTAAAAAATGACATTACAGATATAGTTATTTTGATTTAATCATTGAAATCATTTGATATTAATATGTTGAGTTAATTAAATGGTTTTTCAAATGATAATATAAACATTTTTTATCAAACTTAAATGTAATATTTTGTCCTTACTCATTTAACACATAATATTTTAAATAAATTTAATATTATAAGCAATTCCGATATATTAATAAAATAATACATCAAAAGATTGAATTTTTTATTCACAAATCTCCCATTCACCGGTAAAAATAGAATTATACATAACAGAATCTCACTCTCTCATTTTTCTCTTTCTCTAAGAAAATCCGTGCATTTTTGCCACGGCAGTTTTAAACTCTAAACCCATTTGAGTTTTTATAATTGTTCCAACTTTCCCAAAAGAATTGTAATCAACCCACAAAAGATCTTGAAAGCGCGTGAAAATTCAAAAAATAAATGGTTAGTTGCATATGAGATCATTCTCATTTTATCCTCTGAATGCCAGTACCACTGACATTTTTGCAGTTTCATCACTACCATAAAGCTTGATCCATTTGTCCCCTTTCTCCTCTTCTTCTGTTTAGACGACGCCTTGTTTTCTCTTATCTTTTCTTTCTCTGTCTCTTTTCAGTGATCGGTTCTTGGATCACTCGCCCAACAGATTTTCCTTAAAAAAATGAGCTAAGTTTGACTGATCAGAGAAACTTAGCGAAAACCCATCAAACACAGTGAATCAGATTAATTTTAAGTGTTTCCCTTGTTTCAAATTTCGTGCTTTTTAGCTTTTTCGGTTTTTTTGTTGTCGTTGTTGCAGAGATTAATGGGGAAAAGCAATAGTAGCAGAGACTGGACTCAGATCTATGCTATTTACGGCATGGACCAGTGGCAAACACTCATTTTCCTTCTATTCCATGCTGTTTTTTTCTCACTACTTTCCCTTATCTTCCTTCTCTACTTCGAATCCATCTTCCACTTCTTCCAAACTTTCCTCTCGAGTCCCGGCGCAGCCCGTTTCGCCGCCGGATTCAGCGGCTGCGTCACGGCGATTTCGGCTGTATGCTTGTTTTTCGCTGCGGCTAACTTCTTTTATTCCGCCGGGCCGTTGCATTACGACATGGCGCAGCGGATGGTGGGATCGGTTTACGACTGGTCGACGGTGAAGCTGGCGCTTGATATCGGGTGCGGCAGAGGAATTCTTCTCAATGCGGTGGCTACCCAACTGAAGAAAACCGGTAGTTCGGGTCGGGTTGTCGGGTTGGATCCTTCTAAACGAACTACTTTGTCTACGCTCCGAACCGCCAACGTGGAAGGTTCGTTTTCCTATCATTCCTCATTAAATTAATTTTGTTTAATAATAAATTCATAATAAAATTTGAGTTTTCTTCTTCTGATTTTTGCTGAAAATGGTGATTTGAAAACCGGAACAGGTGTGGGGGAGTACGTGACGTGCAGAGAGGGCGACGTGAGGAGCTTACCGTTCGGAGACAACTACTTCGACGTGGTGGTTTCTGCCGTGTTTGTGCACACCGTGGGGAAAGAATACGGCCACAGGACGGTGGAGGCGGCGGCGGAGAGAGTGAGAGTGTTGGGGGAGATGGTAAGGGTGTTGAAGCCCGGTGGGGTGGGGGTTCTGTGGGACCTCCTCCACGTGCCGGAATACGTGCGGCGGTTACAAGAACTAAAGATGGAAGATATTAGGGTTTCCGAGCGTGTAACTGCCTTCATGGTTACCAGCCACATGGTGTCGTTTCGGAAGCCAAGTCAGCACATCATAGGTCCCGGCGAGGTCCGCTTGGACTGGAGATGCTGACGTGGAAATTACTGAAGTCAAATTCAAAATATTACTGCTAAAGTAAAAAAAAAGGATTAGAAAATGAAAGCTATACAAAAATGAGAGTATCTTTGATTCTGGGGAGACGAAGCCAAACCAGATGTTTTCGTTGAAAATATACTTGGCTGTAATATAATATAATATATGTTATGTAATATACTAATGTATTTTGTAAATAAAGAATAAGTTTCGAAATAATTTATTTATTTTAATTAGTTTGAGATTATTATAAAGTATTATTTGTTAAAAAATAAATTTATTAATGATATGTTTATCTCAATTGTTAGAATTTTTCCCGATTAATTAAGGTAATTATAGGCCGTAAAACATCTAAAAAATAATATTTTCTTTTATTACTAAAATCCTTTAATAAATTCATCTTATTTTCACAAATACAATGTTGAAACATCTTTACATCTATTTTAAGTAATTAATTTGACTTGAACTTGCATGTAATTAAGGTTTTTATAATTATTTAATATAATCTTTTAGAACATTACAGCTTATGAAAGAGGGAGAACAGATGCTTGTCGGTGTGATGGGACTTGGTGGAGGTTGTGCGTTAGATGTGGTTAACGGTGTAGGGTTAGGGGGTTGTCATATCTTTGTCAATGGTACATGTTCTATTCAGTGGGATTTAGTTATAGCTTACATGGGATCTTTCTCATAGCTTTTCAAATCTAATTTTAATATCAAAGTTTTCGTTACTTATACTCGTCTTAAGCATTTTTCGGATGATCAACAGTGATAAAATTTTTATTTTATAGAGCTAAATTGAATCGAATTAAAATTCAAAATAAATTTTCTTTTCGATTTTGAGAAATATCAAATTCTTTATCGCTTAATTAAAAGATATCAATAACTTTTTATTATTTTGATATCATATGTATGGTGAACACTTGGCCAATGTGGAGAACTCATAATTGAACATCCACATAAACCATGTCCCATTTCCAAAATACAATCACATGAATACTGTCTGATTTTGCCTCATCTTTTTTATGAAATTTGTCCATATACCGAAAATGCAGTACAAAAATGTTGGAACAAAGATTCAAAAACTTACTTGTTAACCAGTAATAAAAAAATAAAATATTACCCAAAGATAAGCTCATGGAGTAAAGTAAGGGTGACAAAGAATCTATGCATTCACCCTTTTAATTTTTTTTTTTTTGCTGACCTTGCAATTCTTGAGATCAAAGCAAGAAAAAGCTGAATGAATACTTTATAAATAAATAATTAATGATTGCATCAAAAAATCAGAGAGAACACATCGATCACGGCATGTGTTGTCTGCATTTCCAGCTTTGGTCACAAAAATTTGGTGTATAAGTTATAACCCTCAATCTCAAATCTAAGCCCATGCTTTTAATGCATCTGTCTTTGTTCTCTTAACATTTAATTGCTCCATGTGTATGTGTGTTTACGTGTCTTCCTGCAACCACTAATATGATAATGATTCTTTTTATAAGCTTAATATAAAAATAAATGTCTAAATTATATCGTCTTTATTTATTTAGGTGTCAAAATTATTTTTCAGTCAATCCAGACGTCTAACATTATAAATATTATAATTTTAAATGATTCGTTTGTAACGGTCATTAAAAATTTCTTTAAGTGACATTTGCCTTATTCTAATAATTTTAAAAATAATTTTAAAAATTTTGTTTTTAAAAAAAATTAAAATAAATTTATTATATAAAAAATCTTCAAAATCACCAGAATACGATATGTGTCACTTAACAGGATCTTTTAACTATCGTAACACTGAAAAGAGTAATATTTGTAACATTAGACACCTAAATTGATCGAAAAATAATTTGGTTGCCTAAATGAAAAAAATAGTATTACTTGGGCACTTATTTTTGTATTAATCTATTGTCGTTGTCTTTTTTTTTTAATAATATCATCGAATTTTGATGCAGTATGAGGTTTAGGCAAAAAATAAGGGATGGAAGTGTTGCAAAATCCAATCTGGTGTTTACCTAATGATTAGACTACTAATAAAGGAGATTGTAATGTGATAAATCATATGGAATTGAATCGCATGGGTCTGCGTATAACAATGATACACCGTTCTTCTGTACATGAGCCAAAACACATTACACAATTGGAGAAAAAAAAATGGAGCTAAACTTGGTATAAATCTAAATCTGTGACAGTTCTCGTTGAACGTAGTGGAAAAATTTAGGACCAGAGATTGACTTGTATGATGAAAATCCATGACGATCATGCCGGAACGCAGAAGGATGAACTAAGATCAGGAGGCATGACGCAAACGAGGTGAGGTCCGGCAGGACTGCAGCTTATATTCGCATTGTCGATATCCGGTAGCCCAAGGTGAGGGGGGTGGACATAGCCGGCATTGAGTGGCATGCATCGTACGGAAATAAATATCCTTGAACCTGTTATTGGAAATAAAATGGCAATTACATACAGAGACAGATACGATGATACGAGTGCTTTTTTGACTCTGGAAGTGAAAAGGGAAACAGTTTGTAAACCTTGCTTTGTGGAGAGAGAAACATGCCCCCTTTTCCTCCCAGCTATCATCCAATTATCCGAATTCGCATTCACTTCATACAGCACCTCATCCTGTCAAAAATGTAATAAACATGAGTTATAAAGGTCCATGGTTTGGCCAACTTTGGCCAAGAACAGGACTATCTCGACTTACATCGTTTTGTGGAACTTTGCTCTCCTCTATGTCTTTCAACCTCTCAAGTCTCCATTTCAAGGTAACAAGTTGCCCAACTCGTAGACGATCAGAAGGAAGAGGCAGAAACCCAACAGCCAGGCATGGGTTGAGGACTGGCCGCTGCAAGACTAGAGCACTCCGGAAGATTAAATCCTGACTAGTACCCTCGGTATCATTTGATTTTGTAACCGCAGGTGGGTGCGCCCCGATGGTCCTATCCCCAGAAATTCCATATCTGATGTTTAATATGCTTTCAGGTTGCAACTTATTTTCATCTGTAAAAGCAAGAGGTCGATTACTTGACATAAGGTAATATGGCAGGGAGTATTACTTGTCAGCGATATTATCAGACATAGGGCTCGATAATGATAACATAATAAGAATAATGCACAGCCTCAGTGTTTGGACATTTTAATGTGAACAGCGAAGAGGAAGGTTACAGCCTTATACCCTGACACTATCCTAGAAAAACAAGATGTCTGTACCTTCAGCAGTTCCCTTCCCCGAGCATACACGGAATAGGAGCCCTGCTCTTGAATTTGGAGATATTTCGAGTGGAAGAAACGTTGAAAATGGTCTTCCATCACTTTGTCCAGTATGAACAAATCCATCTTGAAGATCAAGCCAAGCATCATTAACAGTTAATGTGGCCTTCACTTGGGAGTGCAGTGTTACCTGTAAGAAACACAAACCAAAACAATCTTCATAAAAAGTACAAAGAGTAGTGGGAAATTTGTAACACACAATTTTATTATCACTGTACACCATGAATGGTAAGATCGAAACCTCTTACATATGATATATGCATACATTTCAGTACATACAGTAAATTCTTAATCCAACATGCAGTCAGTATATTATATGAAGTAAGATTTTCACATTTTCAGATGCCATACAACAAGATCTGCAGTGTTGTAAGGCATGCACCTGGGCAATGCCAGTGCCTTGTGCTTTAGGGCTAGACATATATAAAACCGACGGAAAAGGTGATAGTCTTTTGATCATACATGATGATCACTTCCTTAAAATTTATTGTGAGAGTAAAATCACTAATGAGGTCGAAAACTAAGGACATAATACCTGCAAAAGCAAAGTACCATCATCGCATTGATCAGCAACACATGTGCTCACATGGAAAGGATCGGTGAAATGCAAAGCTATGGTTCTGCATATCACAGTAGACTGTTCAATAAAGTTCAGATAGAGAGAGTGTGAATTCAAATCTAAAAAAATAAAAAATAAAAATATGAGTAGAAATAGTACTTGTCATAGATTTGATTGTTTGATACTCCAAACTCAAGTTTCAGAGCTATTGTTCGCATTCCGTCCACAATACTTTGTTTCTGCAGGGCCCCTGCCATGGTGCGCAACATAACATAAACGATCTAGCCAACAGATGCAGAAAACAATAGAGAGACATATTTTTGCACACAAACAAACATATATCCAAAATTAAAACCATCACAAATTCTCTAGTCTTTTTCCGGACCTGAAGATGACCCTCTAGCAAGCTTTCATCAATAGCACAAATAGGAATCCAGAGAATTGAGGTCACATCACTGGCCCAATCTGGAAACTCTATTTTACAGTCGAGGAGACTTAGCTGCTCAAAGTCTTCACTATCATCATTCCTAGCATCACTGGTGTTTGCTGTATCAGTGGAACTCTGAGCAGCACTTTTGTACGTTTCCATCTCAATGGAAGGCGACTCTTCAATCTTCAGACCTGGACCAGTATCAATATGCATAACAGCACCTTTCAAGGAGTAGTTTATAGGTTGTGCTATAATTCCAATCCACTGAGCTTCATTAATCAGCAAGGTAGATGATATAGCTGCAGATAGATCAACTAGAGGTCTTGGTTTGGAAACCTAAGTAAAGAGAAGGTTTTATCAGAAGACTGAAGAAAAAGAACAAAAGCATAACCAGGGTTTGTGATCCTAAAGTTGGGAATCTCACCAAGCTATACTTTTTAACATTTAGAAACGGTTAGCTTTATCGATATTAATACGAGAGACAGTACTTGAAATCTGAGAAAGAAAGGGTACCTTCAAGATGGGGCGGGTCGTTTTCTCATAGCTCATGAAATCATCACTGTCTGTGGGACCTGCCTTGGAGAAACTATGAGATCTAAAAGCCAAGTGTCCAATGTGTCCAGTAAGAACACCCAAGACATAAGAACCAGGTTTCTGTGGTGGTAAAGGATAGGTGATTGTGCTCCTTCCAGGCTTTAGTAAAGTGGCACTAGAGCTTCTTAACTGAAATATGCATCAAATAACCAAGTCAATATCATGCTATGACATAGC